TATGACCTTTATTTGACTGAAAAGGTGGTTAGAAGTTTAGCTTTGCTACGTAAGCAGGATAAAACTAACAGAAAATGTTCAAACTTTCAGCTACCACATGCTGAGCCCTTGAGAGACTGAGACAAGCTAAGGTTCCATCTCTCATGGGAATTAAATTCAGCCTCCAAAAATGATGGGTATGTGACAAATTAGATACTGACAATATAACCTTAATCCCAAAAGCAGTTTGTTGATTTTCTGTTATGATTTCGTGATTTAAGGTGCTGAGGTAAGTATCCCTGTCAGCATGGAGACCCTTAACCCGAGCAGAAGGAGTAGCTACCTTGATGTGTCACTCAGCATGCAACAATCTATAATACAAGCCAATGAAGTTTCACTTCTTACTATTTTGTTTTTTGAAATGAAAATTAAAGTTGAAGGCAATTATTGAAGGCTGCAGCTGGCAGTAGTAGGCTTGCCCAGAACCAGAGCATTCTAGCTGTAGCATCCTCAGACTTTCTTACCTCCCCACAGCTAATGCCCGCATTCTTCCCTCTGGTGTCTGTAAGGTGCCACGACAGCTGCAATTTCTTGGGAACCACACAGTAGCTGTATGCAGCCACTGTACGCCATTAAGTAGCTAGTGTATTTATCTCTGAAGAATCCTAAGACATAGAATACATAATCACCATCATCCTAGTACCTACAAAGCTAATGCTTAGTTTTTAGTAAGCTGCATGAAAACAATTCCAAGGTGAGCAGTTGCTTTGTCTATGTCATTTCGTAGTAGTAAGTCAGGTAACTCCCTCTATAAATCCAGCAATGACAGAAATCTTTATGTACTCATTAAAAGAAAATTGCATGGTGAAGCACCTATTAATTCTGCATTCAATAAAACCGAATATGTGTCAATGCTGCATCCCTGAGAGAAAAGGAATGAGGGAATGTTCTTGCCACAAATGACAGATCCAACACCGCCACTCCACATTGGCAAATTAGCAAGAGTGCCGTCCTGGGGTAATTTGCTGCACATTGTGAGTTAGTAAGAGAGCATTCTGCTAAAAACTAGGGTGTGATTTCCAGTTTGTGTGAGGTCCAGCTCTGCCCACATGGCTTGGCAACACAGCTTGCTCTTGACATAAGAAGTAGTGACATTTCCACTGTACAAGCTTTTGAAAACATGTTTATTTAAAATCAAACATTATTCAAAATAAATGACTCAGCTCATACTGAGCCATTTATGGAGATTTCTTAGCCATTTGATTCTCATTTCAGAAAGATGGAGCTAAAACGTAGGCATAGTTATCTTTTTAAAACTCATTGTCCTTGTCAATTCATGAACTTTTTGTGTATTTCAAGATGTCCAAACTATACTGTATCAGACATTTAGTTGTGAGTTGAATACATTTTCTTTAAGCACCTTCTATTCATCAATTTTTCAAAGTAAACTTGTGAAGAACATATTATTACTAGGCAGGCATCAGGGACATGGTTGGGGATGCGATAGTGAGAAAACAATATTTCTTCACTTTCTGGAATTGATAGTGCAATGGCAAAGACATAATGTGGAAAAAATATTGCAAGTTTTTGAAGGAAAAAGTTAGATTCTGAGGGTGGAATCTTTCTTTTTTCTTTTGTACAGGGTCTACAGGGTCTCGCTAGACAGATCTGACTCTTAGTGGTCCTCTGTTTTTAAGCCTCTGAACTATTAGGATTACAGGCACACAATACCACACCCAGTCTCAGTGTACCCCAGGAACAGGGCTGTCATGGATTGAGAAATCTTTTCAAAAAATTTTAATTAATTAATTATTTAATTGGCTACAAGGTCTCACCATGCAGCTTGGACTCATAGTGATCCTCTTGTCTCAGTCTCCCAGTGCTGGCATTGCAGGTGTGCAACATCACACCCTGTTTCGGTGGCTGGGTTGGCACAGGGCCGCATGGCATGTGGAACCAGGGATTGAGCATGGGTCCTTGCGCTTGCCATGCAGGTTCCTAGACCACCGAACTACTCCCCCAGCCCCAGATGGAATCTTTTTTGTGGAGAGTGAATGAGATCAATATAAGCCAAAACTGTAAATTAAGCAACAAAAATTCATTGAATCCCTCAGAGGAGAGTCAAAAACTACAGTGGCAGCCTCTACAAAAATAAATACAAATACTACCCCTGCAAGAATTACATGCATTATTTCAGGACTCATGTGGGCAGTAAAGGGATATGCTCAGGTGCAGAAGAGTGACATTTCAAAACTATAAGTACTTTGCACGCATTGCATTGCAAAGGTATTGTATACAAACTGGGTATGTGGAGAGGCAAGTTGAAAGTATTCAGAAGAATACTCTTTAATATACTAGAATATCCTTAGTTCTTCAAATATCAAGGATTACATTTTACAAGAGTTTCTGGCTGTTCTTGTGTTTCATCAGACTTGAAAACAAAAGACTAGGACCCTGCCAAGAATGTACTTTTGTTCCATTTCTAGGTAAATTATGGGATGCGTGATAGAAATCTTCCTGCGAGGTTCTGTGCTTTGTGTATAAAACTGCTCAATATAGCACTCTAGTGCAGAAGAATGTAGGAGCTGATCCTCTGTAGCCGGACAACAAAATATAAAATAACCAAAAATGGGAAGCACGTCACAAACCAGTTTGTTGCACAAAACAAGTCTGTTTTGAAAAGCACAGAAACAAATTAGCACACAAATTGGTGGAGAGTACAATCATAAGAAAAAAAAAAAGGTTGACAGTCACTGGCAAAGCTGGGGAGATAGCTTAGCAGTCTAAGTGCCTGGCTGGCAAGTTCAATGACCGGGGTTTGATCCCTATGCCGTGCTGGCCCCAGAACCTGGGAGCGCTGTGCAGGTCCCAAAACTGGGTACGGTGGGGCATGCCTATAATTCTACCACTGCAGAGGCTAAAGCAGGAGGATCTCTACAAGTCCAGCCTGTGTATGAGTCCCTGTACCAACTGAATAAATAAAATTTAAATTTTCTTTTAAAGGTCACTGGTATATTTGTCAGCAGAGATATAGAGAGAAGACTTACAATTAGTTCCACTGTTCCATAGCAGAGTAGGGTAAGTATAGTTTGTAACAGTTTAATGTAGGTACTTATATTTTTCTAACAGAGAAATGATAAATATTTGAGGATATGGAAGTACTAATTATACTAGTTTGATAGCTGTACAGTGTATACATAGATATTTTACAACAAATCGATTGCAAACTTTCTCCTGATCCAACTGACAGGAGAGGGCAAGACCTAAAGACAGGCTCAGGTGGGTCCACTGCTAGCCACAAACATCTTGAACATCATCCTGCATGTGCCAGGTTGACGCCTTGCACACTCAGGGCTGAATACTAACCAGGACTCAATTGGCTATTTCCACATACATTTTTGTCTGCCTAGCAAAGTAAGAAGTCATGACGGCTAAAGAAAAAAAAAAAAAATTAGCATGGATGACATGCTGGGACTCCTACTTGACAAACCTCTCCCTAATGAATCACCCTTGGAGATCACATGAAAGCTATTTTGAAGGTTCAAAATGGACTTACATCTTTGATTAATAACACAATTGCATATATAACCAAACCAAGTGTTAATGAAAGGTTAGCCTTCAAATTAGCTTAAGCAATGAGGTGCAAAGCAGTCTTGAAAAAACTGCCAACACCCAGCTTTCTGAGTAGTATATAATCTCCCCAGCTAAGATTTCAATCTTCAAACTTGGTCCTTCTGACCAATGTCAATTAGGGTTTTAGGAACATGCCTCATAGCTACTGCCAATCATTCAGGAGCTCCTATGAGCCACCACTGCTCTCTGCCATTGAACATGGCTCTAATTCTGCAAGCTTTGGAGATGGAATCTGTTTGCCTAGTGCTTGCCATGGCAGAACCTGGCTCTTGGACAACTTTAAAGGAGCCTGCAATGAAACCACCAGCTGCCAACTAACCAGTCAGGAGAGGGACCATTTGACAGAGGATACGTGTGTGCAAAGTTCCTGCCTCTCCCGGGTTGTCCAAACAACTTGTTCCAATTCCAAGCCTTCTGAAAGGACGTCATGCCAACCAAGAAGTTCTTTGGCAGTGCCAGAGAATGTGGCTCAGCCTTTCCAGGCAGGAAGCAGTCAGCAAGTGAGTTTTGGAGCCCATCACCCGCAACCTGAGAGCTCCTTGGCAAAGTGTAGTCAACTAGAAACTTTTTCGTCTCAGAGTTGCCAGATTCTGGAGTATGAATCCAGCCAACGCCAATGTCAGATCTCGGAATCTGGTTCCTGTAGCCCACTGGTCATTGTTGCCCCTGGGCCACAATTCTCAGAATCTTCTAGCACTTATGAGCCAGCGTGCTGTGTTACTGGTGGTTTGCAGTTGCCTAGTAAGTGAAGAATCTGTAGGGGATGTGGCATATTTTAATTTATTTTGGGACTATTTAGGGGCTTTTTTTCTCTAAATATAAAATATCGTGTGTGTTTGTGTGTGTTGTAAATGAATGAACATGTGTAATAATAGTGTTTCCAAAGACAAGAATTTTTTTCTCTTTTGGCATGTCTGGTGGCAATCTGGAAATGGAAATTATGTTGATTATTTTATATCATTAAACCTGTGTTTACTATAGAGCAGTAAGTTGCAACCAAGGAATAACTTGACTCTTTATAAAGTTAACCTAGGAGATGGGGAGATAGTTCAGCAGTCTAAGTACCTGCCTGGCAAGCACAAAGACCAGAAGTCTATTCCAGGTACTGCATGCTGTGCTGGCCCCCCACCCCACTGGCTTGGATACCCGGCATGATGGCACATGTATGCCTGTAATCCCAGTGATGGGGAAACTAAGACAGGAGATTCATTATGAGTCCACTCTGTGTAGTGAGACCCTGTATCCAATAAATAAACAAAGAAAAAGAAAAGAAAATGTTAATCTACACTAGGACTATTCATAAATGTCTATAGAAATAGCATTGTAACTATTTTATTGACTAATGTATCATTAATATAGAAAAATTAAAATATATTCATAAGACTTTAGAAGCATATCTAGTCTTATACATTCTGATGGTTTCAGCTCTATTTTGGGTAAATAATAGTTAATAGCTAATAGTTAATAACATCAGCAACACTCCTAAAATCTGGATTTATTCACCTGCCACCTTTTTATCAGTTGAATCGAAAGATTCTTAAGCTAACTATCAGCTAGTATCTTTTGTATCAGAAATGAAAAAAAAAATGAATTTCACCTATTTGAACTTTAAAATCACAAAAAGATAACTTAAGACAGTATAATGTGAAGTTTATCATCTGCATTACATTCCTGATATTTTTATTTTCAATTTTTCTTAAGTGAATATTGAGTGGAAAAACTGTTCTTTATTAAACAAATTCACTTCATTTGGAATTAAAAACATAATTGTCATTATAATACTTTATTCAACTCTGTAGTTAGATTTTTGTTGTAAAGTTTGTTATTTTCTAATCAAAATACATAATACTTGAAGAATAAAGTGATATATTCCCTTGTTATAATTTTTGTAGTATGAACTAGAAAATGACAGTCTCAAGAGGTAAGAAACACTTTTAATGTGAAGATCATAAAATCCTGAAGTCAGAATATATGAAGCTTATTAATTTTCTTTGGGCAACATAGATGTTCTAAAGCTTTGGATATGTTATTACATTAATCTACCACTTAGGGGCATGTCCCAAGGGAATGGTTAGTACCATGGACTCTAAAGACAGACAGGTGTACTAGGTAGGCTTGAGCTCTCAGCTGTGCTGGCTGAAGGTTAATTTCTGACTGGGTGAGCACGTGCAAGTTGCTTATCCTTTACTGGGCATCCCAGTGTCCTTAGTGCTTATCTTGAGAAGATATAATTTAGTACTCATCAGTTTTGCATTGCAACAAAATACTTGAGAAAATGAGTTTAGAGGAAAGATAATTTTGGCTTATGGTTTCAGAGTATGATGAGCCATTTCCATCACTTTATCCTTTTGCAAAGCAGAAACAGGGCGGAAGGACAGGAGGGAGAAAGATGCTCACATCATAGCAGTGAGAACCCATGGCTCTGAACACTGCTGCACTGAGATCCAAAATCCCCACGCGTGATCCTTCTGCAACATACCATACCCAAAATATAACATTTTACCAAAGTCTTATGTCCATGTTATAAAGCAAATGCATTTAGTTCATCTCCAAACATCTTCATCTGAAAGGGAGAATTAGATGCACAGAGAGGAGACTCAACAAAGCAAACATTACAGAAGGGGTAAACATCACATATGCTAGCTCTCTCACCCTTGGAGCACACAGGGTGAGATGTGCGATTCAAAAGGCGTAGATATCCCAGAACTATGGCAGGCTGAGTCCCACCCACACGACTTTTCTCTTGTCCTTCCTTTGCTCACTGCCTAAAAATTCACTTGTCAGATGTTCCACGCTTCCAGCCTTCCGACTTCCTGCCAGGTGCACTGTGTCCTCAGTTTCACCCTCACTGTTTCACACATCACTCTCTCTGGGGCGCTCTTGGGCTACCTGTGTAATCCTGGCGGAAGCACCACTGCACCTGAAACTCTCACATTACGCACTCTGGCAAAATCAGCACCAGGTGTATACTTTACATCTGCTCGAGTGGCAGCACAAATGCAGCAGCTGCTTGGGGCTGGCGTGGCTGAGCAAAGTGAAGTAGATCCCAGGAACTGATTGCCTAGGGGACGCTGCTCAAGCAGGGAGTCCTGGCGCTTTCTCTGCCAACTCTTACCTTTTCGTATCTTTGGGCCTACAATCTGTGGGGCTTTGGTGATTGCTTAGATATCCTCAAGATATTGTTCCTATTATCTCAGTGCAAGTAATTGATGTCTATACAATGATGTTCATCTCTGCTGCAATTACACATTCTTTGGCCTGAACTTTACTTGTGTTTCTTTCCTAACCAACATGTGGTTTTTCATCTTCTAACTTTTTCTTTGCTCTCAACTTTCACTATAAATCTGGCTGAAAGCACCCAACAATATCTATGCCTCAGATAGAGTACTCTGTGTTCCTTTAAATTTTCTCCTCCATTTAACTAATCTTAACATGTAAATTCAGCCTCCCATAAAATTTCAGGGCATAGACAAAATACAGGTAAATTCTTTGCTGGAATGTAGCAGGAGTGAGGAAGATTTTACTGCCCACATTCTGATCAGCATCCTGGTCCTCTGACCCCAAATTAGCATTACCCTCTACACTCTGCTCACAGCATTCGTCAGAGTCTAATCCACCTCGCCAAGCCTTTCCAAACTTTTCCTGCGAACCAGTTCCAAATTCTCTTCCACAATATTGTCAGCTTCAGTCATAGTGACAACTGCATTCCTTGTTCCCATTTTCTGTGTCGGTCAGCTTTCTAATGTTGGAACGAAATGCCAGAAAGAATCAACTTAGAATAGAAAGATGTAGTTTAGTTCTCAGCTTCAGCAACTGAAGCCTAGGTTTTGTTGGCTCGAGTGTTTGGAAAAGCAGAAATTGCATGGGGTAAGAGCAGGGGGAGCAGAGCTGGCCTCCTCAATGCAGCCAGTAGACAGAGGGCAGAAGGTGACCCCAACATCTCTGAACACTGCTACACTGGATGCCAAGCCCCTCATACACCATCTTTGCAAGGGATATCATATCCAAGCCTGAGCTATGGGATACTGTGAGGTTTAGTAAGGCAATGCACTGGAAGTTCTCAGGATACCATTTTGCACATAATAAAATCTCAGTAAGATATTGTAAGCCAGCCAAAACAAAGACAAGCTGTATGGAGGGGATGGTAAAGATTCGTCAATAAATCCAGAAATTTATAGCAGATTAGGAGAGCTAGTCACCCACAAGACAGAGATGAACTTCTTCATATTTTGGAAGGCACGGGTAACATTTCTACTAGAGACAATGATTAGAAATGCATGCCTACCTAATTGAAGTGGATTAGCGAGTGTCTCCTGAAATAGTGATGAAACTGTTGTTATTGCTAATCTACCGGGCAGTTCTGTGAGTGAATGTGGTGGCAATTAAGCACATCAAATTGAGCCAGAAAGCACTCAGATGAAATATAATTTCTGGGTGTGTTTGTGGATCCATTTCTGGATTTGCTTTTTTTTTTTTTGGAAGGGGGTACTTTTTAATCAGGGTCTCATCATGCAGTTGATGTTGGTCTTGTGCTCATTTTGTAGCCCAGGCTGGTCTTGAAATCACAAGGATCCTAATGGCTCAGCCTCCCTAGTGCTGGGATGACAGGTGTGCACCACCATACTCGGCTTGGTTTCACATTTGAATCAGTATGTGCAACAGATTTCCCTCCTCAATTTTTATAGGCCTCTTCTAACCTCTAGAGCATTGAATGGAACCCAGTGGAGCAGGACACTGATCCCTTTTGTTCACTGCCTTTCTCCTTGTGCTAGAGCATCTGTCTTGTGTACTTGGACCAGGATATATAGCCCTGAGACTTGGTTCTCAAGCCTTCAGACTCAGGCTGCAATTATGCCACCAGCCTTCCTTGGCCACCAGTTTATGTGTGTTGTACAATGGGATTTCATCATAATCCATAGTAATGTGAGCCAGTTTTCTCTCTCTCTCTCTCTCTCTCTCTCTCTCTCTCTCTCTCTCTCTCTCTCTCTGGAGGGCTATATTTGAAGAATCACTGATGAACATCTGAGAGATGCTGAATTCTATTTGATTTCATCAATAGCAGCAGAAAAGCATCCCTGAAGCCAGAGACATTTATATAAAATTTCTGGCAGCAGCAGTAGCACAGCGCTGGCAATCATAAGTACAGACTCCATTTCATGGCGGCCTCTCTAGTTTCCAACTACAGCAAATCATGTGAGCATAGGTGAATTTCATTCACAGGAAGATGGTTGCAAATAAAACTCAAATTGGATTGTCTGGGAACAATTCAGCTTATCTGAGCCTTCTTATATGAACCCAAGAAGCAAAACAAGCACTGCACGCACTCTTCCAATATGGGGAGGGGGGTGATCAGCAATAAAGGAAGTGTTTAAGTTAAAAACATTGATTAGAGGAAAATATTTTCATTAATCCCCCTAAAAAAGAAAAAAAGAAACTGCATGAGTCCAACTACACCTATCCCATCGCTCTTTATAGTTTCTGAAGCAACTGTAGAAGTCCTTCTGTGTCTCTAGGAAGTGTGATGGAAAATACAGTGAATGCTACTGCCAAGTGCCACCCCCCAAAAAGACAAGTTCCTAAAACTGTGACAGTGTTTCCTCATAGCTTGTTATCAGATTTTATATGATGCTTAATTCTGATTCTTCTTCAAAGTCAAGATGATCACAAAAGATGAATGTTTTGAAATGACTCCCCAAACTGAGGCATTCATAACAGAAAACTAAAGAAATGGAAATGGACTGCAAGAACT